CATTTGCCTTTGTGGCTTCTCTTAAAATTTATTGTACTTCGAGAGGAGTGATTTCTTGGGGAAGGGGGGGGTGGGGGGACTTTCCATTGTATATTTGTTTACTTGTACTTATTAAACACTAAGGGCCAGTTATTTAGCCCTAATGATTACAAAATCGCGTTATAATTAAGCCATTTTCAGTGTGCCCAACGCTTTTAGCAAACCCCATTTATCCTGAACAATTTCAATAAAGCATGTAAGGCAGACTGGAAAAGCACTTACTTTCTTAAATTAACCCACCAAGAAAGAGGCCTGGAGGTCCAATGATTTCTTAAACCGCGGCATAACGTAGCCCGTAATGGTTTGAAAGTAATGTCACTCTAGTTTCTTTTGCTTCTCTCGCAAGTTAAAGTGGGAGTTCACGGAGACTGTGCGGTTTTCTGGAGTGCGTTTTAGAAGTTGCCTTAACGAAAAGGTTACTACACTACCGGAATTAAAGTATTGTGGAAATTATTAATTTAAAGCCGCATAGTATTTTCCCCAACAATGAATAATATTATTTCTAACGTTCTGCGATAGCACTGCTTCTTCTTATCATCACGAGGAGCCGCAAGCGGTGATACTTTTGCACGGCATCTGGCGGCACATCAAAGAATTTGGAATTGAAGGGAAAATTCCTAGAATATCTTCGCCAGTTAAGCTAGAGAAAAGGTGTTAAAGGGACAGTGTCCCGATTATGCGCACGCGCGAGCTCCATCTGTTTTTTTCTTCAAAAGACAATAGAACTGTCATATTGACTCGATAAGATTTCCTTCCGGACCGCACCGCCGACAGAGATTTGTTGTTTATATTCTCAAGTAATATTTTAGACTTTCAAAGAAGTCTTTCGTCTTATATAACAATTTGGCTCGCGGTTCGAAGACTTATCGCGATTTTATCGCTAGCTGGGCCGCCTCGCGACCCGAAAATCTCGTTCCGCTCGCTTTAAAAACATATTTTCTAATTTGAAACTCGTGTCAGAGGTCAGTTGTTCCAAGTCTAGTAATATCTGCCTGATTTGCTCGCGTTCTAGCCTCAAACGTTTGAAAGACATAAATAAAAATGCAATCTCAACGCTATGAATCATTAGAAAGGTTAGTCAAAAATTATATTATGATTTCATGGCACTAGTTTTTCTAAACATGTAGCGCCTGTTTGTTTGATTTTGTCGGCCGTCAGGGAGATTCATTTAAAAAAGTTTACTAAGGCGTCGTTGCAAAACATCCTGCTTCACGATGCTCCCCTCCACAAGATCTCCTCAGTCACATCAATGTCTCAATGGTTTCTTTCTTACAGTCTTTATTGTTGCCGTTTCATTTCTGCGTATTCCTTTCACAATTATCTGAGCTTGTATGGAAGCTAGCAGAAGAAATAAGCCTTCAATCGGCATCAAAGTGCTTCCAATCTTTTGGTCCTCCGGCCAACGGCAATAAAAGTAACGCCAAAAATCCAGATTTTGCCCAAATCGAAACTTATCAGGAAAAATATATCATTGATCTGTAATCCTGAGAAGTTTTAGTGTCGTATTGAACCCGGTCAAGCGCGATGCAAACGGATTTTTCAAGGTTCTCTTACTCTCCTCGCATCTTTTGATTTCGCGACATCCTGTCCAAAAATCAAAGTTTGGTGCATGCGCAGTAACGGGATACTGTTCCTTTAAAAAACCTCAGGATCCAAAACAACACGTCAATAAAAATATCACTTGTACCTTTTCGCTAATGAAGAGCTATCACGCGGCTAAACTTGAATTAGACATATATTGAAATAGGAACTCGTGTCAATAAAGTATCAGAAGTGAGTGGGAATCGCTCCTGGTTAAAAAACTGGTTCACAGGGATATGCATCTCTTCTAGTTAAGAGAAGGGAATCAGAACTGCTTTTCATGCAGGAACAGGTTTTCTTCGGGCTAACTACAAAACTTCAGCTTATTTCACTCCTTGACATTGTCAAAGCGCATTTTGTAAAGATAACTTTTTCCGCTTTATCAGCTTTTTTTATATTCTATTCCATTAATGTTGAACGTCCCTCAAAAAGCCAAATAATACAATTAAATGCTGTTGTTAAAAAAAGCGTTTTACCTGTTTTCGTGAATTCGCTACCCACAGATCACTATGCTCAAAGGACAGGGCAAAATTTCCAGGAGAGAGGCATTAATTTTTTTTCCCACGAGGTTACAAAGAGAAAATGCAATGGTGATTATTAATGTAACCATCAGGTATACTCTACCCATTTACGGACAGCAAATGCAGTGATTATTATTAATGTAACCATCAGGTATGTTCTACCCACGAGATTACAAAGAGAAAATGCAATGATTATTATTAACGTAACCTTCCGGTATGTTCTACCCACGAGGTTACAGAGAGCAAATGCAGTGATTATTATTAAATGTAACCGTCAGGTATATTCTACCCACGAGGTTACAAAGAGAAAATGCAATGATTATTATTAACGTAACCTTCAGGTATGTTCTACCCACGAGGTTACAGAGAGCAAATGCAGTGATATTATTAATGTAACCATCAGGTATGTTCTACCCACGAGGTTACAAAGAGAAAGTGCAATCATTATTATTAACGTAACCTTCAGGTATGTTCTACCTACGAGATTACAGAGAGCAAATGCAGTGATTATTATTATAAATGTAACCATGTATCAGGTATGTTCTACCCACGAGGTTACAAAGAGAAAATGCAATGATTACTATTAACGTAACCTTCAGGTATGTTCTACCCACGAGGTTACAGAGAGCAAATTCAGTGATTATTATTAATGTAACCATCAGGAATGTTCTACCCACGAGGTTACAGAGAGCATGCAAATGCAGTAACAATTATTAGATTTTAGTGCAACTATCAGGTTGAGTTCCTCCATTAAAAGAGTTTCTTGCTAGGGTTAAACAAGTTTGGCTTTCATGAGTTTCAAGGTGCAAGAAATTATCAGTATAATTATAACACACAAACATTGTCATCTAATTTTTTGCACGAAGCCGAAATAAGCCAAGAAATGAAGCATATATAACGAAAAATCTTTCTCAGATGATCTCCATACTAAGTAAATTATACTAAACGTTGCGAAAGAAATTATTGTTTGTATCCGTCTTATCCATCGCAAAAGCGAGGGGCCATCGCATGTCATGCGGTATATTAAACAGAGGTAATACTCACGGGTTTCACGAGTTGTATGCAATATTTTGTGCCGAGAAACAAATTTAATTAAAACTTCAATTCTTACCTTACAGTAGTCCGTTCTTTTACCTTGCATTCGACAAAAAATCTGTTAAAGGCAAAGCGATTCCGGCACTCTTCTTTATGATGAGTAGCAAGCCGCAGGAACTTAAGCCGCTTGACTGAAGTAAAATCCACCGATATGCACGGCATTCTCAGTACAAATATAAACAAACGTCGCGGGGAAAAAAAGACGAGGAGGAAAAAATGCCAGATCTTCGCCTCGGCAATGTATTCCAGCTACCATGCCGGCGTATCTCCAGAAGGTGGACTCGAAGTGGGACAAACCTTGTGATTTTTTTTAGAAGCCCTTTGCGCGCAAACTAATTTATTCTGGCGCGAAATGAAGATTAACAATATGTATACTGAAATCTAATCCACGACAAGAAGATTTTCACACTGTAGCGCGACATATTGAATGCCTATTTTTACAAGTACGCGGAGAAAGTGGTCTACTAGTTTAACTTTTTTGAGATGAATTTACTCCACAAAAGCAAAATGAAATGTTTTATCTCTATGTTGTTTACGTGCCTGATTAGAAGGCAGAAGTAAATTCATCATACAGACCCCATCAAAATGAAAGTACACGAATGAAACGGAATAAGTCTGGGACGGTTTAGTTTCTGCTCAGCAGCGTCTTTGCTTTTATAACAAAAATTTAATGTTGTAGTCTGTTTTAAATGTTGGCATATCAACGCGCACAGCCACTGAATGAAAACAACAGTCACGATCACGTTCTTCGAAACCGACCAGACGCGCGCGACCTACCACTGTTATGGCAAGCAATTATCCTGAAGGTGTTAATGTTCCCGTGACAATCTTCGCACTGAAGGTGTAAATGGTAAACCGAACGGTCGCTTTGATCATCAGAAAGACCTGTCAACTTTGATGATTTAACTGATTAAATTACGGGACAAAAATTTTACTGCTTGCGGCTCCTCGTGCCATAGATGTCTCTGGTCAAATTGGTATTAGAAGCTTCAGTGTAAACTGATTATAATATCTGTTACGCTGGTAGAGCTGTGGAGATACAACAGCTGATCGAGTTAAGTCGTAAAATAATAGCATTGAAGGCAAATCAAACTGGAAGAGAACCTAGAGTGTTTGATAAAGGTAGGGTGAAGTCAACTTGCAGAGTAAAGAGTAGAAGTTGTAACCAGACTTATCACTCCTTTTTCGAAAACATAATGTAACTTTATTTTCGCCCCATGTAAGGTAATCCAAGAGAGTCTTGGATTCCGGATTCCACGCTGTGGATTCCGGATTCCATGCCTGTGGATTCCGGATTCCACATCCGTGGATTCCGGATTCCATAAGTGGCTGGATTCCAGATTTCAAAATTCTATTTTCTGGTTTTCAACGTTTCCTTTGTACTTTGTTTTCACCAAAAAAGCTTGTTCTTTTTTTACCCGAAGTGTACATTGTCTTATATAAAATATAAGTATAAAATATAATTCTTGGCCTTACCCGAGAGGATTATGAATATAGGAGCGGTTTCTGAAGTCCACTGAGTCCACATCGTTGAAGAAATACTAACGAGGAAGGGCTATTCTTATTCTAATAATAACAACGGCGTCAACAATAACAAAAGAGGTACACATTGCCAAAATCAGTGCTTTTCAAGTTCAAACATAATTCGTCTCCGAATTGTTTAATTGCCACACAGAAATGTAAAACTTCAGTTACAGCTTACCAACAAATAGCGTGAAGATAGTCCAATTACTATACTACAAGCTACGCGGGCAACGGAAACGTTTATCTTAGAATAAACCGTGTCGTTCTCCGTCCTGATAAACTAACTCCCAGCAGTCTTATCGGGACGGATACTTCTCCCTCATCCTCTGCAGTTGGTGGTGCAGTTTCATTCTCATTGTCATCATCGTCACCGTAGTCCCCATTAGCAATTCGACAGAGCCTGTTATCCTCCTCTGTTGTTAAAATGATGTCTGATCCATCGGAAGAAAAGTCGAGTACTCGGGTTAGAATGCACTTGGGGGAATTCCCATTACAGACATCACCGGAGGTGTATGTTAGTGAATCACTTGTTTGGTTTAGCCACTTTAGGGATACTCTTTGCTGCACAAAATTTCCACCATTCACTTCTATTTGTACATCCTCCAGACGAACTGCCAGCCAGAAGGGTGAGATCTCGCTTCTACGGTTGTGTCTTACTGCCAATATGTCGTCTTTCTGGTAAATGGTTTGCACCCGTACAGCCGTACTCCGCAATGCCACATTAGTATCCACAACTTGGCAAGGCTGTTGTTACGTCTTCGCTTTCCTCTAATGAGGCTGTGATGGTAGTGGGACACATACTAAGGGCATAAGAAAGGGTGCCAGTTAGCTCTTTCGTTTTTGAGCGGACATTTTCCTGTCTTACGCCTCTTCCATACTCCTTAGCAAATTCTCGCATCACAGTTTCTCGCCTTGTGTCTTCTTCTTTGCTACCTGTTCCTTCAGTGATTGCTGACAGCTTGTTTGGTCGCGTCTTGATGTTTGAGGGTTCACCTTTGATAATTTTCTCCGGATAATATGAATTGGGCCCAGTGAAATATGAGAAATCCTTCTGGTAAATGCGCAGAATATCGTCTTCCACGCAGCGCACTCTTCTGTAAGCGTAGTTAGCCACTGTAGGCATGTCGTGGTCTGCTCGCATTCCTTTGAAATAGCATTCCATGCCCAAAGTTGTCATACTTTCGAAACAGATCCTGTCCAGAAGGTGACTATGCCCAATCTCCGTTAGCGTGTTGGTAAGGCTGGTCAGCGATTCTAGCACTATGAGGAAGGACTGTCGGGTGCATCGAGGTATGGTCATGTCGGGACCGTTGGTATTTCGCTTACCCGTCCTCTCCAGGGCTTCCTGTTCGTGGTTAGAGAGAAATGCAACCAACTCCTCGACAGATTTCACATGATCTTCAAATGTACGTGGTAGGTCTTCTTCTTTGGCTTTCTTGTCGAGTCGGAACACGTTTGCGTATTGGGCCATCTTACTTTGCGGGGGGATCAGTCCCTTTGCTGACGTCAACATTCTTATTGCTACGTTACCGGTACCGCATACGAAAACAGTGTTTCGATATACGCATAAAGCAGTGGGCTTGTTCCATCGACTTTGGACACCATCACGATGGCCTGCAGTTTCTTCACACACTTTTGTTAGGGTTTCTTTACCCCCAAGCATCTCTTCTTCCTTCAAACTGAACAGTGCGTGTTCTTCGCTGGAGGACAAGAACACGGTTCCACCATCTGTCACTGCAATACCCATGAGGCCTGGAATATTCGAAATTGTTCTCAGTTTCAATCGTCCTCTCACTTGACAAAGATGAATACATGAACCATTCCCGTCTCCAACTAACAAGTATTGCTCGTCACGTGTTAAGGCTAATGAAGTTAATAAAATAGATCGATCAAAACAAAACAATTCATTTAACTGGCCGACGCAGTTAGTTTCCTCATCGTCTACAACACCAGAAATTGAAAAAAATCTTGCCAAGACCAACGTCTTACACAAACAATTCAACGCTACCCTTTGCAGACGCACATATGGCAAATGGTGACACCATATCCGGTACATTACCTTCAGAAATAAGGGAAAGATCGTGTACATGGACTTTACGGATACGTCTACCGGCGCAATCTTCTTCCTCACTTTGGCTTTCTTCGGCGCTCCCTTGTACAATCTGGGAAGCGTGACAGAAAAGCGTTCGCAAATTGACTACTCTAACTCTTCCGTTTCCTTGGTCACAAACGTACAGCTTCCCGCTCTCTTTCACTGCAAAACCAGCTGGGTTTCTAAATCTGGCCTTGTTGCCATATCCATTAGTGTGCCCGGGCTCACCACCACCAGCGATTAATGTGACATTTGCTGGACAGTGCGTGTCAACCATGAGGACTGCATGGAGACGTCTATCGGTAATAAACAGCCTGCTATGCTTTGGGGAGAATGCCAATCCTACCGGGTAGCTTAAAAGAGAGACCCCGTTCTTTTTCCAGTGCTTGAATTCCAGTTCTGGAACTAATGTTGTGCTCACTCTTTCATCTGGAATGGAATCTTGAATCGCTTTCCGGTGAATCTCCACTGCTGTTTCTACATCCATTCGATCTTTGTTTCGAACTGCTTTCAATGAAACTGATTTCTTGATGTCTTCGTATTCTCTACGTAGCACCAAAAGCAGCCTTACATTCACTTGATTCACTAGGTATCCATCAATGTCAATCCAATGCCAAAACTCTGCAGAACGTACTGACTTGATGTTGTGTGGGCAGTCACGAATAGGGACTTGGTAGGGGTACTTCGCCCTGTCTGCTAGCATGGAATTCATAAAGCTCTTTTGCTTGGGATCGCAGTCAGTGGCCCAAACCAATAGGAACAGTCGAGTGAAACACGCGTGAACATGCCTGTTGCGCGTCCTTGCGACATGGGATTTTCACGCAATAGTCGCTAAAGGAAAAGAAGAGGCCCTGGAACCATCACAACAGAGTGGACTCCAGCAACCTGGATTCTGGATTACAATGCTTGGATTCCGGATTCCATTAGCTGGATTCCGGATTCCAAAGCCGTGGATTCCAGATTCCACAGACCAAAATTACCTGGATTCCGGATTCCGGATTACCTTACATGGGGCGATTATTTGATTTACCACAAAATACAAATAACGATAAAACAAGACAGTTACACAAAAGCAAATGAAAGTGGCGAGGAAGCCCAAAAAGAAACCATGAGGCCGTTATAGACATTGGGCTCCCTCAGAGTAAAAATAAAGTTAACAGTAAGGCCTGGATCGAAAGTAAAGTACAGTGAAGGTAAGTATAAATTAACAAAATATAAAGTATGGTACATGTAACAATAAGTATAAAATAATATCAGACATGTGAAGAAAGATAACTATTTACTACAAGATTTATCTTGAGGAGAAAATTAATTTTATGTAATAATAGTCATTGATATAGATTGCAAGTTCTATGAAGTTCTGTGAAGGAATGAGTGTCTTAATTGCTTGAAGTAGGAGAACCCGATGAGGTCCCGATTCTTTTCATTAGAAAGGGGTTGTATCATGAGAATTCTACCAATTCTAGAGTAAGACTACCCTACAATCATGGAAAAAAGTCTTGGGACAAGTTTGTTCTCCTAACACTTTTTTTACACACACACACGCATCCCCCCACCCCCAACACACACACACACACACACACTCACACACACCAACCAAACAGTCGCTCGCGAATAAACCTAGACCTGCTCAGCCCCTCCCCCTACCTACAATGTGGGCCATTCTACACCAACGCATGTTGGAAAGGGTAGCATTGCTTGTTCAAACTTCAGTTGTAAAATATTTACACTAGAAATACGTGGCTCGCAAACCCTCGAGGAAACTCAGAGTGCCAGTGTTAAACTTGCTTGACGGGGTTGGAAATATTTATTGAGCCTACTCGTGTTTCTGCATCGCGGTGCGAAGCGAGTTAGGAACCTCGGTTACGCGAGGGCCTTCCATTCTCTCTCCGCGAGGAGTAATTCATGGCCTAACCTTATCGTCCTAAGGAGTTTTGGATACAATTGTAGAATTAAACTACTTACACTCGTTGATGCAAAAATGGCCCCTCCTGCCTCTAAACATAAGCGTGCGGGAAGCGCGCAAGAAATTGAATTTGACTTAATTCTGATTGTCCTGAATGATGGATAAGTTGCAGTGTTATTGGTCGTCTGTCGGTTATTGTCTATGAGGTCTCTAATTTCGATCCACCTTTTGTCACAGTTACAACGGTCGTTTTATCGTTAGTCAAATTGTCAGTTGTCCATTCACTCTACTGAAGCTAATCTTGCTTGAGTCCGTTGATAAGTCGTTTTGAAGGTGCCGGTAATTTCTGACTACGATTCAGCCGCGTTTGTTCCCAGTTGGTAAATCACCTTTCTGAAGTGAATCGTTGATAGCAGTCTGAGAAATACGTAAGGCAGGTCGTAGAGTCAGTGTCGATTTGGTGGTTCGTCTGTAACTGGTGTTCAACAATGTCATCCATCATAGCCATAAAAATCACGGCTTAACTGACAGATAAACAACATCACGACTTAGTTGACCAGCCAGATCGATAAACTACGTCTATAACTAGAAATACGTGTATCGCAGAACTTCGAGAGCCTCAGGCCCATAAAATGACAGGGATGGGAGGGCGGGAGAGAATTGGTGGAATGCGTAGCTGAGGAGGGCGGGATTCAACACTGGCTCTAATATGACTAATATTGGAAGGTGAGATGTACTTAATCTCCTTTTGGTTGGAGTAAATTTGGACCCAGTTCTTTGGCGAAAAGGATCTTTCGGGATTTAAATGGGATTGCTGTTGTCGAGGAAAGGTAGCCAATGTTGCATTAGTCCCGTGTTCACCCTATTTGACTCTTCTACATGTGTAATTATAGTCAAAAGGAAATGGGTGTGATAGTGAATAACTGCAGGCTAATATGCAGTTGTATTTGCTTAATATTTGGGTTAGATGCCATCTCTAATAATAAGTGTAATTATAATTCACTATTTGTGAAGTGTGTCAGGGAAAAATCTGCTTGGTATTGTATCCTGGTTTTTGTTCTTTTGTTTTACGTCATCTGTGTCGGGTACACGAAATAAATGACCAAACTCCCATCACAGCCGGCCATCCTCTCCACCCATTTATTACATGAATTTATCGTGAATGTAAAGTGCAGAATGGATAGATCTTATAGGAAACCCTATATCTGCTTGTCGTTTAATTTCATGAACCAATATTCTGCCAATGGAACATGTTTAACTTCTGTGAGTATGTCTCCTCCCTCTGACTTCTTTGAAAGAGTTAAATTTTCCCTGACTCATATTGTCATACATGTCGCACACTAATATTCTGAGGAGATCCGAAATACACATGTTATTTTGATTTCTCAATCTCACAAGCTCATTTAAGTTTTACGTCCCCTTATGACTACCACTCACTAGAGTGTGTACTCACCCCACCCCTCCCCATCGAACGCACTCCCCAAATTGGCAATTATTACTAGTATAAACCTATTGCTTTTTTTGCTCTTCTCTTTGCCGTCGCCGTCACCGTCGTCGTTGCTCAAGCTCTCTATTGTTGTGATCTGGTAATTTTGCTACCATGGTAGCGTGACGTCACACGTCTCCTCTCCATTTGAAATAATTTTAAGGTCATCTTTCCTCAACAGCTAAGAACTGTGCTGAGCTATACAAAGCTGGCAAAAGAATCAGCGGCGTGTACACAATCGACCCTGATGGTGAAGGTGCCTTTGAAGTGTTCTGTGATCAAAAAACAAGCGGAGGGGGGTGGACAGTGTTCCAAAAGAGACTGGACGGCTCGGTTTCTTTCTACAATTACTGGGATGACTACAAAAATGGGTTTGGTAACCTGAATGGTGAGTTCTGGCTTGGATTGGACAAGATTTACCGCCTGACGGAAAAGAAACGCAACCGGCTTCGAGTTGATCTGGAGGAAACTACAGGCAACACTGCTTACGCTGAATATGACATGTTTGCAGTTACAAACGAAGCGACTAAATACAAGCTCAGTCTGGGAAATTACTCAGGTATCGTGCTTGGAATGTATTTAATTTTGATGTATAGTATTTTGTCTTCGTGTCTTAATTATTCGTTCAAAGCTTGGTTGTTAGCGGTTTCTTGACTTCTTGCAAACTTGAAAACTCTAGGAAGTTTCAAAAGGAGCTCAGTTACTTTTCCAAACGTAGCCCCCCTCTTGTACTTCAATGCTAGATTATATTCAGGTATTCTACTCCAAACATTCCTGGTAAAATGACCTTGTATGACCCCTAGGAACTGCTGGTGACTCATTAACGAGGTGGCATCGAAACCAGCCGTTTAGCACTAGAGACCAAGATCATGATGCCGCCCCACGTAACTGCGCTGTGGTCTACAGAGGAGCCTGGTGGTACTATCGTTGCCATCATTCAAACTTGAATGGTTTTTATTACAACGGTTCACATTCATCATATGGTGATGGTGTCAACTGGCATTCATGGAAAGGATATCACTACTCTGCCAAGAGAGCTGAGATGAAAATCAGACCGGTCAACTTTTAGAACTTTTACGGAACCCTAGGACGTCTTGTTTCCGTTATAGTTTCCAAGTAACAAACAAAATTTCATGGTAAAATGCCGTATTTACTCGAATAAGCACTGCCCTCAAATAAGTGCTGCATTTTGGACAAAAATACTGAGTTAATAGGCGCCTCCCCCAAATAAGCTGCGCGACCCCGATGCAATCAAAATCAAAAGACGTTTCTGTCATAAAATGAAATAATATCGGTTACTGAAAAGAAGCAAAGAAGTAGCGTCCAACTCTCAAATAAGAGCCGCTTCGAATAAGCACCACATTTGAGAAGTGAAAATTTTAATAAGCATCGCGGCGCTTATTCGAGTAAATACGGTTATGTCAAAGGAATCGGTGATTATAAAACAACTTTGACCCATTTTCATTGCCATCGCATTCTAAGGCGTCTTAGTAACACATCAGCATGCGAAAAAAGGTTTTTATCATCACGGATGAAATTGAAGTTTTTAAACGTAATTTGTAGTTTTTATTAATAGTTTGTAATAATGTTTATCCTTTTTTAGGATATTTTTGTATTATCTTAGTTAGGACTAGTTTTAAGTATTTTTAACATACTTTTATATTTCTTTTTTATCTAGGGCCTCTAAGGATATCAGTTTTTTGTAACTGTAGGAGTTACCCTAGCTAAATAAAAGTATCTTCTTCTTCTTCTTCTTCTTCTTCTTCTTCTTCTTCTTCTTCTCCTTCTTCTTAATCTGTCTGATAGAAAAATGCATTGGTCTAACCACAAAATCGAACGCAGAAGCAGTTTAGTCCAGTAGCCGAGGTCGGAAAATTGTCGTTTCGTTCAACCCACGGGTCAGAGAAGGTCTGATACCGGATTTTGGTAGATCAAGTCCTCCTGATTATTGCCTAATAATTTGTCAGGTCAATTTGTGGTATAGGTTTCGAGTAAATGGCGATTTTATTTCACGCACCTTACGGTCCAGCGTGAAAACGAGGCTGGAACCTGAATCGCCATTTACCTCCCAATTCTTTCTTAAAAAATCGCTAAAAATGGTAACTAACTTAATGTTCAACGACGTTGACCTCTTTCTCAGTGGTGGTTAATATAGAATACTCTTATATTAAGGTTTTTCGCAAGCTGCCATCTTGGTGTGCGAGTGCGCATGGAATTAGGGACAGCTCATAGCAGAAACCTTCCTTCAAATTGATTTGTTGGGTGTTAATATGTAGCTGCTCAAAGAGATCTTTGTCAGCATGGTACTAAATGTATTTACCTTCAAGCTTGGAACAGGATCCCAAAGATTTACAGTATTAGTGTTCAAAGATTTTCGTCTGTTCTCGACCTTTTTCATTACTGCGCTAACAAGGCCCTCTATAACATTTGAAGTCAGTTCTACGCCGGTAGCAAAGTTAACTAGAGACTCCATTTCTTGGACGAAAGGGTTATTCAATAAACCAGACAAGGGAAAAATAGTCAACAAGCTTCCTGACGTCTTCTTAATCACGCTTCAGTCTCTTCGATGTGGCCTTCTTGTGTTGTTACGTGGTCACTTTCTGTCAGAACCACACATCTTTTTCACAGCTATGAGGCTCTTTGGTGAATAGTTAGAAACAATCTTTCTAGCGATCGTAGACTTTGAGATATGCCAACACTCCCACCCTTTGACTTCGAGTCAGCTACGTAGATTGCTCTAGGGTTGTGTCAGCTGAGACACGAGAAAATGCCTGATCGTTGCGGCTAATGGAGTGATTTTCGGCAACAAATTCCTGATACACTTTTGAGTGTTGTGACTCCGGTTGCTTCATATACCAGCAAGGTAAACTGGTAGCCATGTTGCATAGTTACAGGTCTGTCCAATGCGAAAAAATGCGGCTTCATAGTTGCAAGGGCAGATATATTAGAAGCAAGTGCCAATTTGTATGTTCGTTCTGCTTTGATGAATCGTAAAATTGTACTAACCATGCATGAAACGATACTGCCAACAAATTGCAAACATCTTTGACGGGGCTCTTGCGTGCGATTTGGTGACATCAAACAGAGATGCCAGTATCGTCAAGCTCTTTCTTTTAGTTGGTTAACTCTCTCTGATACACTTCCCTCCTTCTATACGACCTCAAACTAATCAGCAATATTTTCAGAGAGACCCTCTTCTCAGGAGTCAAACCGTGTCTCCTTTTCATGCTTTGGAACAGTCTACGTTCCTGAAGCAATCCATAAATGCTGTATTTTTCTCCTTTGAGTACGAAAATAGACAATTTCACGTAATAGCATGTAGCTTTTTTCTCAACGATCTCTAATTCCTAATAAAAAAAAACTCTAGGTCTGTCTCGTTCATAGAGCGACTTTCTATATGTCAAGTGCTATAAAAGTGTCAAAAATGTTTTTTTGATCTATCCTTTACTTGCAAAAAATTAATAAAGGAAAACAGCTAATGCTAAACAAAGTACAGATATTTAAACTGGTTCTTTGAAAGAAAAAAGAAAAGCGATCAAAGCGCGATTTTCCTTTATTTCAAGCAAATAATTTGTCCTTGTGCGAGTAACGCGATCAGTCACGTGACATTGATGACTCGAAAATATATAATCATCTCCTTTTTTACATTGAACATTGAGTAAGTTACCTTTTTTTTAGCGATTTTTAACAAAGAATTAGCAGGTAAATGGTGATTCAGGTATCAGGCTCGTTTTCATGCTGGACCGTAAGGTATGTGGCATAAAAACGCGATTTACTAGAAACCTATACCACAAATCGACCTTACAAATTATTAGGCAATAATCAGTAGGTCATGTTCTACCAAAATCCGGTTTTCTGACCCGTGGGTTGAACGAATTCTAAAGAACAATTTTCCTACCTCGGCTACTGGACTAAACGGCCTGCTACATTAGTTCGTTCACATGTTTGCTTTGAATAAAGAAAACTGTGGCTGTTTTTAGGGCTTGCGCAGTACTCGTGTCCAGTGGCATGGTAAATTAGGGTTGGACCCATATCCATTCACATCTGATGTCACATAACTGTTATCAGACGTTACGTAACATAACATATGAAATCAGACATTAGACGTGTGATAACAGTTATATGACAGCAGACATCTGCTGTCATATATCTGTCATCAGTTATATGACTGTTATAACAGTTATATGACAGCAGATGTCTGATGTCATATAACTGTTATCAGATGTTATGTAACATAAAATATAAAATCAGACATCAGACATGTGATAACAGTTATATGACAGCAGACATCAGCTGTCATATAACTGTTATCAGACGTCTGATTTTTTATGTTATGTTATATAACTGTTTTCAGACGTCTGATGTTATATGTTATGTAATATAACTGTCATCAGAGGTCTGATAACAGTTATATGATGTCAGACGTCTGCTAACAGTTACAAAAATCAGACGTCTGATAACAGTTTTATGACATCAGCCGTCTGATGTCACATAACTGTTATCAGACGTTATGTAACATAACATATAAAATCAGACATAAGACGTGTGATGACAGTTATATGACAGCAGATGTCTGCTGTCATATAACTGTTATCACAGTTAACAGACGCTAACAGTTATAACATAAAACTGTGAAGATGACTACCGCATCTGTGAAGATGACTACTCTGAAGATGACTACCGCACAGGTTGTCGAAACGTCAGTCACTGTCAACAACAACAGTCCTATTCAGAACTACGTTCACCAGGACGATCAAACTCAACCTTTTAGTTACAACATAACTGTTATATACTGTTATATAACTGTTATATAACAGTTATATAACTGTTATATAACAGTTATATAACTTTTATATGAGTGTTATATAGTGTCATCAGTTATATGACTGTTATAACAGTTATATGACAGCAGACGTCCGATGTCATATAACTGTTATCAGATGTTATGTAACATAACATATAAAATCAGTTAACAGACGTTAACAGTTATAACATAACTGTTATATAACAGTTATATAACTGTCATATAACAGTTATAACAGTTATATATACAGTATATATATATATACTGTTATATACTGTTATATATGACAGTTATATAACTGTTATATAACTGTTATAACAGTTACATAACTGTCATATAATAGTTATAACAGTTATATATAACAGTATATATACTGTATATAACATTATTATATGTTATGTTACATAACGTCTGATAACAGTTATGTGACATCAGACGCGTCAGTTATATGACAGCAGATGTCTGCTGTCATATAACTGTTATCACAGGTCTGATGTCTGACTTTATATTTTATGTTACATAACGTCTGATAACAGTTATATGACATCAGACGTCTGCTGTCATATAACTGTTATAACGGTCACAATGTTAGTCTTAAGGTTAGTTGTAATTTGGCGAAGTGTCATGCTTTTATCTTAAAAGTGAACAATTTTGATCGGTAACAGCAGGGCTATAAAGCGTTTTAGAGTGCTTTCAGGTTAGACAAATTAGTTTTTTTGTAACGAAAACCACGATTTAGAGACCATATCGGAATCAGTACCAAGTCAATCTCGTGCCAGTAAACAAACACAGCCGCCAGTTGCCTTGAGTTAGAACACTCTATATTGGCTGATCGAACGACATGTTCAAGCGCTGAAAATGATGCCCTATTCATAATCGCAGCCGTTAGTCTTTATGGTTGTGAATTTTTAAGAGAAGAACTGAGCAAAAAATTTATCAAGAAAGAATGTTGTATGTACTGAACATTTTCCCCAAAATTCATGTGGCAGTAAAACCTTTCAGGTATTTTTAACAGCTTATGAATTCATAGAATTCCCCTATTTTTTCTTGAAAATGTTTCAGTGGGTCTCCCTACATGAAAATATTTTTGGCTTGCTAATAAGGTTAAAAAGTTGGCCTTAATGAAACTACACCATATTCCCCATATATGCCGGATTACCTAAGTTGAAAACCAACAGCAGTTTAATTAATCTTAAAATAGTATGCTCTAAAAGATATAGCGATCATAAAAGAGAGATTTTAAATTATTTCTGATGTTGAAACGA